CAAAGAAATTCTAAATTCTACCTTTTTTCAATAAAAAAATATGGGCAAAGCAATTCTGAAATTTTAATGTTGATGGAAGTCAGGGTTCTCACTATGGAAGAAGGGACATTCAAATAAAGCATGAGAGAAAGCAAGAAAGAACTCATGACAATAAATTTCAATTGGAGGTATCAGTGTGAACTGATAATTTCTAAGTTATGTCTACTCATGTAATGTACATGTGCAAACATGCAGGTGTATATCTATATCTATGTTAGTATGTGTGCATTTGTATGTATAGTAAATGTATATCTTTGTGTATACACACACATACACACACACACACACACACACACACAACTATTTCTTACCTCTATCAGTTGATAGGACCAAGAATTAAAGAAAACCCAGAAGTGCCCTGGATGGGTGGCTCAGTTGATTGGAGTGTCATCCCATACACCAAAAGGTTCAGTTCCCAGTCAGGGTACATAACTAGGTTGTGGGTTCAGTCCGAGATCAGGGCACATATGGGAGGCAATTAATCAATGTTTCTCTCTCACATCACATCAATACTTCTCTCTCTCTCTCTCTCTCTCTCTCTCTCTCTCAAATCAATAAACATATCCTTGGGTGAGGATAAAAAAAAGAAAACCCAGTAGCAATGATATTACCTAAAACCCAAATCTTTGTCTCTAAAACCATTATCCACTAAAAGAAACCAGTGCTCTTTGAAGAAATGGCTGACTAGGCAAAATATCAGCCTGGAATTAAGAAAGCACTTTAAATAAATTATGGGTCATTTCACAAGGACCAAGGTGCTAAATGAAAAGAGTTTCAACTGGCCACATCTGGGATAATTTTAGTACCAAAGTAAATGCAGTTATGAATTACAAACCATTAAAAATATTAAATTGATGAGTCTATACTGATAAGAAATAGTTAAATAAATGAATAAATGAATGAGTGAAAATGGAAGGCTCTTGCTTACAATAGAATGCTGATAACCAACTTGTAAATGTGGAGGGAGTATAGAAGTTGGAAAATAATTATTTTGCAACCATCATAGTAAAATTACATCAAGCGAGACTCATCAATAACTGTTAAATCTAGGGGAAAGTTTTAATAAAGAGAAGGATATTTGCATGGTCTTAAACTATCTGATTGGTTATTAGTTATGAGGGTAAAAAGTAGTAACTACATAGTAAAGAACTGAACACCAACTTGACAGCGTAATCAAAATCAATAGAGGTAGATGGACATTGTGTGGCTCCATGTGATGATGCCTTGAGGAGGACACACCATCATCTATGCGGTATTTTGGTTGAATATACAACTTGAATGTAACCATAAAGAAAAATAAAAAAAATGATGAACATTCTTCTAACCAAAAAAGGAAGAAGACTGTGTCCTTACAAAAAAAAAAAAAAGACAAAGGCCATGGAAATGTTTCAGATTAAAGAAGGTGTCTTAGTCCTTTGGTGCTACTATAACAAAAATACCATAAACTGAGTATTCAAACAAGAAATATTTATTCCTCACAGTTCTGATGCTAAGAAGTCCGAGTTCAAGGAGACGGTAGACTTGGTGTCTGGTGAGGGCCATCTTTTTGGTTCATAGATGGCTGTCTTGTCGTATTTTCACATAACAGAGCCTAGAAAAGTAAATTCTCTTAGGATTTTTATAAGGGCACTGATTCCATTCATGAGGCTCTACTTTCATGACCTCATCTAATCCTAATTACCTTCTAAATTAACCAATGAATTTATATGCATAGCCCATGGACAGATAATAATGTGGGGAAGACCTGGGGAGAGGGCAGGAGCGGGGTTGTAGGGGGTCAATGGGGGGAAACAGGGGATGTCTTTAATACTGTCAACAATAAATTTTAAAAATATATCAATTTTAAATTTACTGGTATTGCTGACAGTATTGAGGTTACATAAGAGAATATTTCTATACTTCAAGTATTTAAGGGTAAAAATTCATGATGTATGCAACCTACCCTCAAATAGTTCAGAAAAAAATTATATATGCACATAAAACAAATGATGAAGCTAATGTTAACAGTAGATGACTCTGGGTTGAAGGTATATATGGGTATTTTTTGTACTGTGTTTCATTATTGCAACTTTTATATGTTTAGTTATTTTCATTGGGCCACCACTTTGACCAGTCACCAAAATTATCACTAGTGAGGGACAGGTGAACACTGTGCCTCCAGAGGTGACCCCCTGAAGACGCATCACCTATGCAGTGCTCTAGTCCAGCCCATGGAAGCTGAATTTAATCACAAGGAAATAGTGACACTCCAGGTGAGGAATGTCCTCTACTTACAAAGGAGGGTTATTTTTTTGTGTAGCATAATACGATTTACACTTTACAAAGGGACCTCAACAGTGGCGGAATGGGAGATACTTGACCGAGAGAAGACCAGCTTTGTAAGACCAGCTTTGTAGCTACTACTTTGACAGCCCATCAGTCTAATGAGAAACAGAATTAGACTTTGATGTAGGTATGGGAATTAGTCTTCAGATTTGACAACACTTTCAAAAATAAAAATGACCCAGCTTGAACACAGGTTCAATTAAGTGGAAAAGGATAGGGAGAAAGTAAAATAAGCATGGACTATTATTAGTTAGGTTTAAACGCACTTCTCTCTGCTCTGCCATGTGTGGATTCAATGAGAAGACAGCCATCTATGAACCAGGAAGATGGCCTTAACTAGACACCAAATCTGCTGTCACCTGGATAGATAGATGGTGAGGCTACTTATTGAGTCAGGGAATCTTGGAGATGAAGTAGAGTGAAATAAAGAAAGCTTTTGTGCGTATTATCTGGGGGAAAATACTGACCAGGATAAACATGTTCTTTATTTCAACAATAATTTAGAGGCATTGAATTCTCACTAGGTCCCAAGCATTGTGTCAGACTATGCGATTAAAAAGTGTCAAAATGAGACTTTTTACTGCTGAGAAAAACTAGGCTCAGAGATATTAGAAAAACTTGCCCAATATCATACAGCTAATAAATGGAGGAGGCATGATTTTAACTAAAAATTATGCTTTTCCATCTTTGGGATGTCTTATTACATCCCAAAGAAAAATATTATTTAAATCACAGTTGACATACAATATTATATAAGTCCCAGGTGTACAACATATTGATGAGACATTTACTAGTACATACTTTATGAAGTGATCACTCCGATATGTCCAGTATGATTTCTAAATAAAAGCACCCCTTACCCCTTGCCTTTCTTCCTACGGGATGATATAGGATTTCCATCGTCTAGATCAGGGGTGGGGAATGCCCAGACCTAAAGCTATACAAGGCCTGAGAAATCATTTAGTGTGGCCCTGCCAAGGAAACCATAGGTGGGGCTCAAAATTCAATAAATCTAGGAGCTTTTCCATAGAAACATAAGTTTGTATTAAGTGAATTATATTAAGTGAATGATGTTATAAATACCCAAATGGCCCTTGGCAGAGAAAAGGTTCCCCACCCCTGGTCTAGATGATAAAATTAAAACTATGATCTAAGCATGATTTTAACTGGGTCTGTTGGGTTTATAAATTATGGTCAACTAACTGCTTATAGTCTCTAGGTAAGATTTCCTAACTTTCCCCAGAAGGTGGTAATGGTACAACAGAGGGATCCCTGAAGCCAGAAGGTGGGTTCCATCCCTGACTCTGCAGTTTACTGGCTAGAAAATGGTACCTCCCAGAGATGTATGTATGCATAAGCACAGACAGACACAGTAGGTATGTCTATGTAACCAGATCTATGAGACCAAAGACCTCAGTGGGATGCAGTGATTCCCACTGTTTTCTCCAACACTGTCTGCAGAATGTTCCTTTCACAGTGAGGAGTTAATCAACTGCATTTGGATCCAGAATTCTAAAATACTACAACAAATAAAGGTCTCCAAGTCCGACAGTCCTGACCCTGATGTGGTTAGTGTGTTTCAGGGACAGAGGTCTCTTGGTTGTGTCACATAGCACCATGTGACCTTATCATCGCCTTCCACTCCTTGACCTCTGTCTCATCATCTAGAAATGAAGGCAGATGCCATACTTCCTGAATTAATGTTAATCGCAGTCTTGTTCTCAGATCACTTCTAGCTAAATCAGCTGGGCTGCTGGTTAGAACACATATTGCCCAGGTCTCACTCAGTAACTCCCAAATTACAAGCTTGGGCAAAGGATCTAGGAATTCTGCCTTTTAACCCCTTCCCACCAAATAATTCTAATGCACACAAATGTGAGAATCACTGAACTAAGTTCCTTTTCAGGTAAAGAATTCCAAGTAGGCCAGTGCTTTGTAAACTTTCATGCATCCCTCTGAGATCTTGTTAAAGCGCAGTGGGGCATGATCTGTATTACCGCTAAGCTCTCAGGTGGTGCTTCTGGATCCCGGAACACATGCTAAGTAGCGAGGCTTTATGTGAAATGACACAGTCATACACGTCGATTTACATTTTGAGATGAAAATGATATACATAATGACTCAAGGATGAGAGAAGTGCATACACATGATTTGCTTGAGTGAAGAATTCGATTGATTGACCAGCTTTGGGTGACTTAGGTCCTTATCATAGAGAAGACACACATTTGAAGACAGCCCACTTGGTTAAGTCCCCCACTCTGTCCTTTCCTAGACATGTGATCTGCAGAAAGTGATTTACACTTCCAGAGCCTTAGGGCAATAGAATACCCACTTTGCAGAGCCGCTGCAAGCATTAAATGTGATCACATGTATAAAATTCCCAGCCTCGTGCAACAATATCAGACCCTCTAGGACTCAGGGGTCCTCAAACCACGGCCCGCGGGCCACATGCAAATACAAATATTGTATTTGTTCCTGTTTTGTTTTTTTACTTCAAAATAAGATATGTGCAGTGTGCATAGGAATTTGTTCATAGTTTTTTTTTTAAACTATAGTCCGGCCCTCCAACGGTCTGAGGGACAGTGAACTGGCCCCCTGTTTAAAAAGTTTGAGGACCCCTGCTAGGTTTTCTGAGGACCCTTCCTAAGCCTTTACTTAATTCCCTGCATGAGGCTGCTCAAGAGGACTCGTTCCTCTTCCACAGACACCACACCTGGAGGGCAGCCGCCTCTTCACCATGAGAAAACACTTGGACTTCCTTGGGCCGCTGAGTGATTTATCACACAGCTGCTCTCCTGGACTTGGAAGGCTGACGGCAGCCCTGCCAGAGGCAGATGGGAGAGCTGCAGTCCAGTTGCTTGTCAGCGATGTTCAGAGGACACATTTATAAGGCTTTTCACACTTTCCTGGCATCCTCCACCACCAGCCAGACACCAACCAAAGGCAGCCCGCTGCACACCACATGCAGGCAAGGGAAGCTGAGTGCACATGTGCCGGCCGAGGCCCCCAGCAGGGCTTCGTCTTTCTCTCCTGCCTCCTTTCATTACTCGTTTCTGTGTGGTTGTGGTCAACATGCCACCCAGCTTTTATGCTAAGTCCTTTTAATTTTTTTGACAGGCACTACTGCCCTTCCTCCGGAATAACTCATTAAACAAGAAATGAGTTGCAGTAATGTGGACTTAATGTGAAGAGTTTTCAGCTCTCTTTATAGTCATGTGGATGGGTGTTATCAACAAACATTTCTTCAGCAATTGCAGCATCCCAGGTGCCTGAGGGAACCAATAACCAAATCATGTGTTAAGCTTCTTGCTCAAGCTATAGGAAGCAAACCCTGAAAATGATTTTCTTTTCCCCTGAGTCATCCTCAAGTTTTATTGTATATTGGAATCACCTGGAGAGATAGACAAGCATGCTGCTGCCTAAATCCCAATCCCAGAGATTCTGATTTAATGGATTTGGATGCAGCTTGGGCATTGGAAATGCACCCAAGATTGGGAATTAATAAAATCTACCCAAAATCTTTCCATAGTGTCTCAATTTTTAATCAACATTAGTTTTCAACAACACCCTTTATAAAACCTTTTGACCTACATAATCTATGTTAAACCTCAAAACAACCCCATGAAGCCATTATTCTGAATTTGTTATTATTTCATTTGTATATTTGTACATTAGCCTCAACTTGAGTATTTTAAAAGATGGAGCTCAGAGAGGACAAGTTATATCCTCAGATAGACAGCTGGTAAGGGCAGGGATAATCCTTGAACCTATGGATCTTAGCTCCCACTCTTCTTTTTTTTTAAATATACTTTTATTGATTTCAGAGAGGAAGGGGGAAGGAAAGAGAGAGAGGAACACCAATGATGAGAGGGAATCATTGAATAGCTGCCTCCTGCATGCCCCCTACTGGGGATTGAGCCTATAACCCAGGCATGTGCCCTTGACTGGAATTGAACCTGGGACCATTCAGTACACAGGCCAATGCTCTATCCACTGAGTCAAACTAGCTAGGGCCCACTATTCTTTTAATTACTTTGTAATGCCCTTAATTCAGAGTTTGTCATTGACACCATTTACTGGAGCATAACACATCTTTACTTTAGATTGTATACTAGTAAACATTCAAAACAAAAACTCTCTGATTTTCTTATTGGCAGATTTTAGTAATATTAATAAGGAAAGAAGGGTAGTGCTATTGAGAATATAGGGCCTTTCTGGTGTGATGGCCAATAGATGCACTTGGCATATATATAATGTGTTAAGTGCCAAGAGACATTCGACACATGATGCTACTTACTGGGGAAGTCAATGAATGCCGGCCGAAGGCTAGACACACAAAGCTCATCTCCAAGTACCATAAATCATCTCAAAAATAGGCCACAGCACTTTTCCTTCTGTGATGAAAGACATTCCGAGTTCTTTGGAAGGTCGCACAGATCCTTGTTTGAAGACAGAATCATCTGTTGATTCCCTTAAATACAGAGATTAGTTTGAAGGGTGGTTGTTCTCCCAAGCCAGTGGGATAATACATTGATTTGGAGTCTCCATGCCCAAGTTATTTTTCACTTTACAGGAAACAATGCAAATATTAAAAAAAACAACTATAACTTTTGGAGACATGAAATTACCATTTACCCACAACTCCTTGAGTGTTTCATGAACTCTGCCAGGAAGGAATGGAGCAGGATTGACTGATAAAACTAATTCTCAGTACTCTCTCTCTCTGAACCTTAGAGAGCCTGAAGTGTAGATGTCATGCTTGTTTCTCAGGCCAGTGCCACAGCTAATGGTAAGCTGATGGTCAAAGAATGCCTAGTGATGCATGAGTCAGCATGGGTCATCAACTTAATTAGCTTAGGACTGCTCATGGTGTTGGTCCAGTTAGGCTTTAACAGGCATTTTTTGTTGCAGAAAGACACCATCCAATTAAACTACTGGTCATTTTGAAAACAGCTGTTTGAATTAATTCCAATACAGTGGGGCCTTGACTTACGAGTTTAATTCGTTCCGTGACGGAGCTCGTAACTCAAATTACTCGTATGTCAAATCAAAAAGTGAACAAGTGAGACACGTGATGCTGGGCTGATGTGGCATTCACTGTGACGTTCACTGCGCCAACTAGCAGTGGGGTATCTGAAGCTGGCTCGTAACCCGAATTTTAGCTCTCAACTCAAAGCAAAAAATCGGCCGAGAGATGGCTTATATCTCAAAAAACTCGTTAGTCGGGACACTCGTAAGTCAAGGCCCCACTGTATACGGTTTGCAAACATTCTATTATTCTATTCAGTTTATATATGTGAGGCTATAGCCATAAATGAAACAATGGGTACAGCTGTAAATGAAGAAGAGAGTGGCATTCATGACGTTCACTGCGCCAACTAGCAGTGGGGTATCTGAAGCTGGCTCGTAACCCGAATTTTAGCTCTCAACTCAAAGCAAAAAATCGGCCGAGAGATGGCTTATATCTCAAAAAACTCGTTAGTCGGGACACTCGTAAGTCAAGGCCCCACTGTATACGGTTTGCAAACATTCTATTATTCTATTCAGTTTATATATGTGAGGCTATAGCCATAAATGAAACAATGGGTACAGCTGTAAATGAAGAAGAGAATGTGCACATTAAGCTCACAAATAGGACTGTTAGAATTACCAAAATCACTCTTAAAAGCCCAAGAGTTTTGAACCTGAAAAAAAATGACCATAAAAGGTACTTCTTAGCCAAACCTACCAAAGTTATCCATTAACTGAATCCTTAAGTGCAATTGAAAGCTAGTTCTTTTCACAGTTTCTCACTCTCAGAATCCCTGGAAACAGGTCTCCAAATGCAGACCCCGCAAAGCCCCTTTGAGATGATGACCCTTTGGGAGAACCACCTACATAACTGTGGGGCCCAGGGCAAAGTGCGGGTCTCTTTGTTAAAAAATTATTAAGAATTTAAAAATGGTGACAGCAGAGCATTAAATCAAACATAGGGTCCCGCGTCATGAAGCAGTCCCTGTCCTCAGGGCAGCAAGACTCCAATAGTGGTCTTCCAGCTGCCCTTTTACTGAGTCTTTGGGAGTAAATGACACCTCAGTATGTGTTGCCAATTGTTATGTAGGCAGATGGCTCCGGCTGTCCATGGGGCATCTGCAGGACAGCAACAGAAGGAAAATATGATGGAAAGTGAATGTAGCATGTCTGTCAGGAGTAACAGTGGAAGGCAGAGGTTTTGTACAGCTGTTACAGAACTCAGAAAAAGGACAGTTGGCTACTGTAGACCCTACTGAATGCCAACATTATCCAGGGGAGAGAGAGCCCTGGATGTTCTTATCCCTAAATGAGATTATGTGGCAGCATGCTTTTGAGATATTATTCCAATCTGTCTACCTACCTATACTTGAATAGATCTATACTTACCTTTTTAGTATTTCCAGCTTTCCACACCAAACCCAAGCTAACAGTTGTTTCTGTGCTCATTATGTCAGGGGAGACAGCTGCCAGAACAAAGAGATCCTAATAATCACCCTGGATTTAGGTACACAAGCCTAAGTCCCACAGAGAGGAGTGGATTCAAAGCACAGAAATTGTCTGGCCAGAACCAAGCAAGTGGGACTCCCCCAGCTGGAAATGCAGTTCTCCTGGTGTTAGAAGTGAGGGGGAGGGAGGGAGAGTAAGAAGGCCAGTGTTTCCCTGACCAAGAGGACATATTCCCTACATCCCAGGAATGGCTACATGGGCAACAGGCTGATAGAATGAAAGGCAGGTTTGGCCCTAAGTGGAGCTAAGGGCATGTGAAAGCTCCTGTAACTCATGGGAAGCACAGAATTGTCAGCAGACAGCTTGCTAGAAGGGACGGAGGATATCTCACTGGCAACTTAGGCAGCCTGATGGTGGAGGATCAATGACCATGTGGTGTGAAATGTGACCCTCCCCACCCATTCTAACATGCATTGCTTTGCATAGGATTTCAGAAACCACTGGGACGAGAGGAAAATAAGAAAATGACTGAAGTTAGGTTTCCTAGTAGCTTGGTGAGAGGGAGATGGAGAACAGAAATTAAATTTAAAAAAGAGTGAGTTTTCTCGTACACCTGTGTTTTTAGACTGGGGTTCATTCTAACTACTCTGTGATCATACTATTTCCCAAGCTCAATCGGTTCCCATTGCTTTGACGCTGCTCTCCCTGATGCTTTTTACTCTTTAATTTGGTTTTCAGTTTAGACTTTCCCAGCAGAAAGAACATGTTTGGACTGCCATGAATATTGTATTTCTCTTGGCAACAAAAGCTCTCAGTATAAATGAACAAAATTGACATTGTTCTGATTTATAAATTTGTCAGTCTCTTGTGAGTTTGGTTAACATGGCTCAATTCCCTGGGACCCGGCCACATGGATATGCTGTACTGTCTTGATGGAATTTATGAATTTGCAAAATAGAGGGCCATGACTCTGCTAAGATGCAAATGCCCTGTGAAGGTCCATGACTGAAAAGGCCTTGACCTCTCTCTACTGGTATTTCCTGTTGAGAAATAATAGCATAACAATTATAAAGGAATTTATTTTAAAGCTATATTAGTATAATGTAGTAGTCAAGAGTGCAGCCTCTGGAATCAGACTGCCCAGGCTTATCAAATTTTGGCTTTGCCACTTGTACAAATTGTGATTTAGCAGGTTCAAAGAAATCTAATAGGGACTGTTGTAAAAAATAAAGGCATTAATACACATAAAACATTTTGATTAATGCTTAGCATCTGTTAAGTGCTATATAAGTGCTAATCGCTATTTCTAGCTTTATTGTTGTTATTATTTTAGTTGTTCCCTTCCAGCCTATGTTCCAGTGCATGGATATCATTTCCTGTTGCACATAATTTACATTCTTCCTTTTGATCGAACACTGTGCCATACATACTTTATGTATTTCTATGGAGGCTTTAATTACTTTTTTTTCTTTTTTTTTTTTGTGGAACGCTTCACGAATTTGCGTGTCATCCTTGCGCAGGGGCCATGCTAATCTTCTCTGTTTCGTTCCAATTTTAGTATATGTGCTGCCGAAGCAAGCATTTTAATTACTTTTAATAATATAATTGAATTCACTAAACAGTTGAGCATTTATCTTCAAATGACTATGCTATGTTTCAGGGATATCAAAAATAATGACAATTTAGAAAAATTGGCAAAGGTGATAAACAGGTAACACACCAAGAAAGAAATATAACAAGCCAAAAGAGAGGCTTATCCTAACAAAACCTGAGGGAATGCAAATTAAAGTGGTTGTTACTATTTTTACCTGGCAGATTGGCAACAATAAGAAGTTTGACAATAACCACTTTAGGGCAATAGGTACGCCCCTCTCCTGCTGGCCAAGTGTAAGCGCCGTCAGCCATTGGACTATTTATATTTAAAGTTCGCAGACCTTCTACACCCAACCATTTCACTCTTCCATATCTGCCCTCAAAAAAAAAAAATACTTGCTGTGTGCTTCAGGAGACAGAAACAAGAATGTTCACTGTACCATTTATAACCGTGAAATCTGAAGATCACGTCACTGCTCGCAATACTGGGAATAGTTAAATAAACGGTGATATGCTCACTCAAAAAGAATGTGTTCTATCTGTCAATACCGAACGGACCACTTCCAAGGCTTGTTGCTAAGTAAACAAGCAAACAAATACTTTGTTAATAAGTTGCAGAAAAGCAAGTACAAGGAGATAGCATTTTAAAAACACACCCCCTAAATAAAATATATAGCTCTAAAATGTGTATGTGTAAGTATATATGTGTGTATATGCATATAAGTGTGTGTGTGTGTGTGTGTGTGTGTGTGTGTGTGTGTGTGTGAATATATTGAAAAATGTCTGGGAGAGTTCACACCAAACTGTTAACAGTGGCCACCTTTAGGCAGAAAACTAAGAGTGGCCAAGGGGGACTTTAGCTTTTTCTGTATTTTTAAATGTTTTTAAGTTTTCTTTATATAAATAAGAATACACTTTTAAAAATTAAAAGATGAATAAAACAATGTTCTTGAATCCCAAAGTTAGTATTCTATTGAGTAGTTGTATAACAATTTATTTAGCCATTGACCTATATTTGGCAGTTTAGGTTATTTCCATTCTTTTATATTATAGATCTTTATACTCTGCAGCTTCTTTTTCTTCTGTTGATTTATTTCTCTAGGATAAATTCCAAGAGTGGGATTACTGGATAAAATAGTATAAACATCTTTCTGGCTTGTGATATATTTTTCCACATCGCTTTCCAAAAATGCCATGCTTCTCTTTCCCCATCATTACTACAAAAAATTGAGCGAGCTCTTTCTTCTACCACCTGGCACCGATCTACTCTTCTCTTGCCATCTCCTCGTTCTCAGGAATGGATACTTTTTGCTTCAGTTTTCAACCTGTTTTGGAATTGGCATCTCGTCAAGGACTGTCAGCTCATCATCTTTCTCCTATTCCTAGTTCTGTGTATTCCTGGAAGATAGATATGCTTAACATTCTCATTTTACAGATGAGAACACTGAGGTTCACAGAGGTTGAGTAACTTGCCTAGCTAAGAAGTGGTAGATCCGTACTTTTAAAATCATGTCGCTATCCTCTCTCTGTATCTGGATGTGGTTCTCCAACTCTCTGAATAGAGTTGGTCTGAATCCAAACACCTTTTGCTTACACATAGGGTCCTCTCTGTCATGGCTTTCCTGCTCCATCAGGTCTCTTGGTACC